CCGTGGGCTCTGCCTCTTCACTCCAAGGGTGAGTGGGAGCAGAGTAAGTGGTAACACTTCAGGTGCATGAGACCGTTCTCCCACAGGATGAAGCATCAAGTCTTCCCCACACAGGGAGAAGGACCCCCAACTTGCAGACCACAATCAATGAACAGCAGTTAGTCCTTTAAGTCGAATATCAGGAAAAAAAAGATGTGAGTTTCATTTCCTTAACGCAACCGCAATCCAGCAGTCTTTGGCTGTGGAAGTCGTCTCTCTGAGATGCAGAAGCTTTGGGGACAGAATATTCTTCTGGGACAGGCTATTATCCAGTTAGAACATCTCAGGGCTGTTTCCTGTTTCATTTTGTTGAATTTGATAACCAGCTTTTTGTTGTTTTTTTTTTGAGACAAAGTCTCACTGTTGCCCAGGCCGGAGTGCAGTGGTGCCATTTCAGCTCACTGCAGCCTCTGCCTCCTGGGTTTAAGCGATTCTCCTCTCTCAGCCTCCTGAGTAGCTGGGATTACAGGCATGTGCCACCACACCCAGCTAATTTCTGTATTTTTAGTAGAGACGGGGTTTCACCCTGTTGTCAAGGCTGGTCTCAAACTCCTGGCTTCAAGTGATCCGTGCTTTTCGGCCTCCCAAAGTGCTGGGATTACAGACATAAGCCACCGTACCCAGACAGCCTTATGAATATATAGACTATGCAAGAAATCAAAAACTCATTTCTTAATCAATACCTGTTATGGGTCTGCTCGGTTTATTACCCCAAATAGGCCAGAAACGTCATGTCAAACCCGAGCCTGGGACTTCGTTTTGCTCGAGCCTGTTTAAATGGCTGGATTTGCCTCTGCTTTGATCTCCTACCATCCAGATCCACATCGAAGGCCAAAGGACCTCAGTGCCCTCATAAGGGACTTTGCCCTTTTTTTCTCTCCTCTTTTAGTAAAAGCATAATCTTCTATTTCTGCAGGCAGTGGGGCCTCTCTCCAGAGAAGCAGCTCCTCCTGGCTCTGCCAGTCCCAGGTTTTGAAAGCTGCCTCTTTGGAGAGCTGTTTGAAAGCTTCTGAAGAATGCTTGCTTTTATCTCAAGACTCAGATGCGAGCCTTAGCTGGAATGTCTGTCTGAGACGGTTCCCCACAAAGATACTGTCACTCAGATAGGTCAACTGCTATCTTCTCAAGGCACTTGCAGACTTGACATGCTTCCCCAGCCCATCCATGGACCTAGTCACTGCTGTTTGTGTCCAGAGCCCTCGCCCCGGGTGTTCTCCTTCCCTTTTCTCCCCAGCTCTTGTATGAGCCTTACTGAGAAGGACTCTCAGGCTATAGCTGCGCTGAGTGGGAAAGTGGGCTGCGGTCGATTGGTAATGTCTGTCCTGAGCACGGTATGGCCGGCAGGTATGGCAGCCATCCATAGGACGGTATGGCAGATGTCCTCGTCTTTGCTATCCTCAGCCTAAACTTTTTATAAGGTGATTGCCCCAGTGTTCACAAGACAAGCTGTCTTCAGCATTCCAGCTTTCCTCTTTGACCAGAATGCCTCCTGGACTTGGTGCAATGAGGTCTTTTCCTTAGTATGCTATCCGTTCTGACAATTTTGTTTAGAGTCAGCCCATACGTGTTTCTTGTGGTCTCACAGTATTATTTACCTTTTCTGAGCTCTGGGTGCAATGCCCTACATGGACAGGACGCAGTAATCAGACGGCACTCTCTGCAATGTGCTTGTGTTTGTTTGTCTGTGTTTGTTTCTCTGTGTTTCTCTCTGTTTGTTTCTCTGTGTTTCTCTGTGTCCTAATGCCTCAATGATAGTGTTTCTCTGTGTGTGTTTCTCTGTGTGTGTTTCTCTGTGTTTGTTTCTCTGTGTTTGTTTCTCTGTGTTTCTCTGTGTTTGTTTCTCTGTGTTTGTTTCTCTGTGTGTGTTTCTCTGTGTTTCTCTGTGTTTGTTTCTCTGTGTTTCTCTGTGTGTGTTTCTCTGTGTTTGTTTCCCTGTGTTTCTCTGTGTTTGTTTCTCTGTGTTTCTATGTGTGTGTTTCTCTGTGTTTGTTTCTCTGTGTTTGTTTCTCTGTGTTTCTCTGTGTGTGTTTCTCTGTGTTTGTTTCTCTGTGTTTCTCTGTGTGTGTTTCTCTGTGTTTCTCTGTGTGTGTTTCTCTGTGTTTCTCTGTGTTTGTTTCTCTGTGTTTGTTTCCCTGTGTTTCTCTGTGTTTGTTTCTCTGTGTTTCTCTGTGTGTGTTTCTCTGTGTTTGTTTCTCTGTGTTTGTTTCTCTGTGTTTCTCTGTGTTTGTTTCTCTGTGTTTCTCTGTGTTTGTTTCTCTGTGTTTCTCTGTGTGTGTTTCTCTGTTTGTTTCTCTGTGTTTCTCTGTGTGTGTTTCTCTGTGTGTGTTTCTCTGTGTTTGTTTCTCTGTGTTTCTCTGTGTGTGTTTCTCTGTGTTTGTTTCTCTGTGTTTGTTTCCCTGTGTTTCTCTGTGTGTGTTTCCCTGTGTTTCTCTGTGTGTGTTTCTCTGTGTTTCTCTGTGCCCTAACGCCTCAGTGATACTTTTGAGCAGCACCAATGGAGTCACCATCTAATTCCCAAGATCCTTTGACCCTCGGAGGGAAACTTAAATACCAGCCATGCCCCAGTTCCCTCCCTCAGACTAGTTCTCCCTCATGTATTCCTAATTTCAATTTTATTTCTCTTTCACTGGCCAACCCTAATATTCATTTCCTAATTAGAGATTATGAGAATTTTAACAGTGACCAAAGCCTGGCTACTCTTGAAACTGACAAACATTTATTCCCCCATCAAAGGGAAATCTCCAGAGTAGCAGGATTAGCCAGTGACTGTTCTTTTCCTCACTGTTTCCTGTAGTTTCCGAGTTTGTCCAAGAGCATATATTACTTTTATAATCAGAAAAAAATGTGTTTTCAAAAAAATCTAGACTATTGGTTTTCGGTCTTTTTTTTAAAGCTGCAGAATTTTGTTAAAATCTTAGAGGGAAACGAATGAAAGAGCAGCTGTTCTGGTTGAAGCGAAGCTTGTCGTGTATGTTTCTGTTTGCATTTGCGTGTGTGTTTGGATACGTGGATACGTGTGTTTTCTGTGTGTTTATGTTTCCCTGTGTGTATTTGTGAATGTGTATGTATGTGTTAGTGTGTTCATGAATATGTGCGTATGTCTATGCATGTATATGCATGCTTGCGTGTGCGTGCGTGTGCGTGCGTGTGTGTGCGTGTGAGTGTGTGTGTGTGTGTACAGCATACCTCCTTATGTTGCTGGATATTATGACTTTCTCATCCCCAGAAGGGAGCACACTTCTGGACCGTCTTTGCCCATCAAATAGGAAATTGTGCCTGGCCCCAGAACTGGCCTCTCTTACTGCAGAGTTAATGCCTTCAACAAAGAGCCTGTGAGGTTTATCAGGCACCATCCGTTAGGAGCCGCTCTGCCGTTTCTGGGCAGGGACACTCCTTTCCTCTGTCCATGACAGGCTGTACTGTCCTCCTCATTCTCCAGGGCCTCTGCCTGCTGCGGGGGGGTGTGCGGTAGGGAGAGATCACGTCACAAACAGGTCCTTTTTCAGGACAGCCTCTTCAGAACAGATGTGAAGAAGTGATTCTCTGAGATGTTGTTGGCAGAGCCTGAATCCTCTCGTTCTCCCTGCCTTGTGTTTCGGGTGGCCCAGCTTTCTCCCTGTATGAATGTGCTGGAGGCCTCTCCATTTCTGGAAAGGCCACACCCAAACTTTCCCCAGGACTGGCTCTTCTGTTAAGGATGGTGTGGAAGAAGCAAAGCACAAGTCACACACATGCCAGGGACAAACAGGAAGCCAAAGACCCACTCTTTTCGCTGCCCTCTCTGCCCGCTCCCTGTGTGGCCACCAGTTTTGTGGCAAACTGTCTTTGAGCCCAAAGCTTGAGGAGCCAGAATGGAGCCTTTTGCAACAACTAAGAAACGTCTCTTTATGAACTGTTAGCTGCTCTCTGAACTCTTTCAGGAACACAAAATTGGAGGAAGGTCTGTATTTTGGGGTGTATGGGGTGAGGGCTACCACATTAGCATGTGCACATTCCATCGGGGGAAATCACATGGTTGCTAAGAGCTGCAACTTCAGGGCCAGACTTTGCGGATTTGAAGCCACCTACCAGCTATGCAGCCTTGTCTAAAGGCACTTATACCCACCTGAGGTCTAAGTCCTTCTGTTCCTAAAAGAGGGTGATACTGGGTCCTAACTCCTGGGACCCTCAGGATTATTCATCCTGAGGGTTAACTGAGGCAATGCATGTGGAACGTTCAGCGGAGTCACAGTATTGGCTGTGTAAGTGTTTGCTGTTCCTGTAATTATGTTTACGGTCTTGCTCACACTGCCTTTCCACCTCTCCACCTCCCTGGGAAGGTCCTCGCCAAAGCTCTGAATGCTTGTGAGGCAAGAAATAAATTTCTCCCATTTTGGTAGCTTTGCTTGGTAATGGTGAGAAGACTCACAGTGGGTGAGCGCCGCACTGAGACATTTAGGAAACTGCCTGAGCAGAGACCAGTGGCGCCCCTGGATAGGTAGAGGACAGGGTTCGTGAACCAGAGAATCAGTGGGGTCACCTCTGCAGGGATAGCTGAAACTCTCTATGTCTGGAAAGAATTCTCTATAAACTAGCCCGTGGGGGTGAGCAAGATCTATTCGTACAACTATTTTGGCTGCCATTTTTTGAGGACTGACTTCTTGTAGTGCCAGGCCCTACATCTTCTCTGTCACACGGTCCCTGCAAAGACGCCGTTACAGTTACTTTTCCAGATCACGAACTGAGGCTCATAGAGGAAACTGGCCAATGTCCCACAGCTAAAAAGTGAGAGAGCTAGTCCCCAAACCCAATTCTCTCAGACGTTAAAACCCATCTGTTTTCCATTACTCTGCTTTCCCTCTCTTTTACTGTTTCCCTAAAAGTCCTATGGAGCAAAAGTTTTCCACCAATTTAGGCCTTTACCATATGACTATGTGTTTAAAAAAGCTTCTGCTAAAACATCCCCTGTTTTTTCCTGCCAGAAAAGGTGTGTTTTCCAGAGGTTCCTGATGTGCAGCCATCCTGGGCCTTGCTCCCAGACGGAGAAAGACTTGCCCCAGCCGCAGGCTGCTTCTCGGTTGGGCCGCCAGTGTCCCCATTCACTCCCCTGGACACTTGCTCCAGAACAGAGCTGAATTCACCATATTTGCTGGTCAACCACATAAACTGGCCTTTCCTGGAGATTGCCAGAACTTTCTCAAAAGTGTGACATCCAGAGGGAGTCACCCCCCACAACGAGCAAGTGGGATGTTTGTGGAACTGGCCAGCCCCGGAGGAAAGGCTAAGGCCATTCATCTGCTCTGGAGTTCTATCCTCGGGTTCTGAGACGCACAGCCTGGAGAAGACATATCATCAGATCATTGCTCCCTCAAGGTGACCTGTGGCCTCCCTTGTGCCCCAGGGCTTTTGGAATTGTGTAGAGGCCTCTCAAAGCAAGGTTCTGACAGAATGCTTCACATTCTTAGCTAACGACATCTGGGTTTTAACAGCTCCTGTCTTTGGCATCTCTAAGAAGCCACCAGAAGATGACTCCCTTTTTGACTCCCTTTGTGCTGATTCTTTTAGAGAACTGAATGACCTGCCTTGCAATGTCTTGTCTCTGACATTCCCGCCTGCTTCTCAGAGGGCCCGCACTTCACTTTCTATCAGCTCTTTGATCACTTTCGTTTTCTTTCATGAAAAGTAATCAAAATCGTATGATTTCTAGGTTGTCTTCTCCTACAGGATGTCCCCCTTCTGGTCTCTCTTAATCTCTCTTCTCAGGAACTCCTTCCATCTCCTTTAGCATCAATTTATTGTCAATAAAAGCGGCTTTAGGAAGCCTCCTATTGGCTGACAAGGTTCCAGTTTTCTGACACTTTCCTACGGGACCCACTTGTTATGTCATCCCTGTGTCCTTCTGGCACGGCCTCCTAACTGGGGAGGTCAGTCCCCAGGGTGAGAGCGGGTTGGGGTGGCCCCTTCTCAGGCCTTTAGGAGCTTACGGTCTGGTACTTCCCCTTCACAGACTGAGCTTTAGAGACGCTGGCATCTAAGGCAGCCGTTTGGTGCTGACTCTTGGTTTGCAAAGTAATCATTTGAGGTTGTTAAAATGTATTTTCCTCTGTGCTCTTCGGAACATTCGCCTTTCAGTAATTCAGTGACATTTGCAGAGGATCTGCCTTGTGCCACACCCGGCCCCCGTTATCCTGGACTTTACAGTCTAACGGCAAAGAAAGGTGAGTTAATCAAGTCATCACACCAAAACACTTTCAATTCAGCCATGAGACTGTTTAAAGGAGAGGCACATGTGGCCGTGAAAGCATGTCATGCAAAGGACTGGTGTTCTCAAAGTGTGGTCCCTGGACCAGCCTCTCAGCATCCCCTGTAAACTTGTTAGAAACAGATTCTCAGTCCCTTATCCCAGACCCGGTAGATTAGAATCTCCAGGGTATGGGGGGAAGGTGTCCAGCGTCTGTGTTTTAACCTGTCATCACAAGACTGCGATGCATGCTCAAGTCCGAGAACCTGGGCTCCAGGTGATCAAAGAAGGCTTCTCTGAAGACGTTAACTTTCGGGTGTTGAAGGAAACTAGGGAAGAGGGTGGGCTAGCACTTCAGACGGAAGGAATGGCATGTGTACAAGCCATGCGGTAAGAGCATGGAGCTCTGGAAAACATGAGGGCGTGCCTCAAGCAAGGAGAAGAGTCATACAAGGTGAGTCTGACAAGTGGACGGGGGCCAGGAGTGCAGGTCACGGTGGCCTCATCAGGGATTGGGCAATGGGAAGCTTTTGATGTGCAGTAGGCACAGGAGTGACAAGATATTATTTGTTTATGTTGAAAGGATAATTCTAGCTACAATATGGAGAAAGGATGGAAGAAAAGCAAGTGTGGAGCAGTGGGAGGGCCTCACTGGGGTCTGGGGGAGGATGATGGCAACCTGGGCTAGGGTGGCTTCTGAAGAATGGAAAGAAGGGTGAGTAGTCACAAGATTTCCAGGTAAAATCCACAGGTCTTGGAGGACTGTGGTATTTTGCGTCTACATGCAAGATGGTAGATAACGGTGCCAGTTGTAGCAATGGGACGAGATCATGGGAAGGTCCTGTTGAGTCCGAGGTACCTCTGAGCCACCCAGGTGTAGATATTAACTAGATGGTAGAAGGCGTGCTGAGCTCAGAGAAGCCAGGGCTGGAGATACACATTTGTGCATCATCAACAGCTGGGAGGCAATTCAAACTGTGGTCAGGAGGCATCGCCTAAGGAGAAGGAAAAAGCCAGTAATGCTCTTGCGGAATGTCAGCGCCCATGTTTAATGGGCAAGGGGATTGTTTCCTCTAAAATAAGCTTAGAGGAAAGAGCCAAGAGGAGGAAAACTAGAACCTAGAAGGCCATGGTTTCACAGAGGCCAAGGGAAGAGAGTTTCCAGGAGCAAGCACCCAGCGGGGCGAGTCGGGGTAGGAGAAGAGAAGGTGGAAGAACACCTGTTACACTAAGTGACTCAAAGGTCATTTGTGACTTTGGCAGAAGATAGTCCATGGAGGGAAGAGAGCAGAAGCTAGAATGCGGTGGACTGAGGTGAGAACAGCAGGTAAGGAAGGGCAGGAAGTGAGCAGAGACAGCTCTTTAGAAACGGTTGTGAAGAGGAAGAGACGGCCCCATCGATGGAGATGTGCGGTCAGGCAGGTCGCTCCGGTGTGTTTGATTTCGCAGTGGGAGTGCTCCCAGCACGTTAAAGCCTAAGGACTTCATTGAAAGGGGGAGGCTGAAAAAGAGAAATGGGATCATCTAAGGTTACCAAGGGCCAAGCCACAGGTAGGAGGATGGCAGAGGCTTCACGGAGGCTGAAAAAAGAGAAATGGGATCATCTAAGGTTACCAAGGGCCAAGCCACAGGTAAGAGGATGCAGAGGCTTCACGGGTCTGGTAGGTCCTGCTGTCACCTGGACTGAGCCTCTGTGACCTGCCCACGCCCGGACTGCCCGCCCTGGAACGCCTGCCGTCCCTCCCTTTCTTGGCATCTCTCCTCCCTGCTGTCTCGCCTGCCCACAGTCCTCTCCTGCAGCCTGCTCTGCTGTTTTTTCAGCTTTGTTCACCCACTGTTAAGTTATTAACTCATCAGGGTCTAGACTCCCCGCTTCCTTTCCCTCTTTTGAACTCACTGCTGGCTCCCTTCCCGTTTGCCGCCTCGGTAAGTCAGCGTTTGGAAGGCCGAGGTTACTCTCCAGGTCAGTACTGGCAGGCACACAGAATTACAGTGAATATAATTAGCATAAGATGTGTAAGTTTTCTAAAATACATGGATACAACTGAAAAAGAAATAATAAACACAACCATCTCTCTATTATCTTGTGGAGGTAAATGCTGAACTTAAAAATAGACTTTATTCAAAGTAGCGTCTCCAAGAAGGTTCATCTGTGAACATGTTAAGGACCACTGGACTCTTACATGTTAATTCATGGATTCAATTATGATCAGAAATGTTGCTCAGTTTTTAAAGCAAATTCAAACAACTACGTAAGTTGGGTTTTTTTGGTTTTTATTTCCTTTTTGTTGTTGTTGCTGTTTTTTGCGATGGAGTTTTGCTCTTGTTGCCCAGGCCAGAGTGCAATGGTGCTATCTCAGCTCACCAAAACCTCTGCCTCCTGGGCTCAAGCGATTCGCCTGCCTCAGCCTCCCGAGTAGCTGGGTTTATAGGCACGCGCCACCATGCCCGGCTAATTTTGTATTTTTAGTAGAGATGGGGTTTCTGCACATTGGTCAGGTTGGTCTGAAACTCCTGACCTTGGGTGATCTGCCCCCCTTAGCCTCCCAAATGTGCTGGGATTACAGGCCTGAGCCACCGCGCCTGGCCAGATAAGTTGTTTTAATGTAAGTGTTGCTGTTCTGAGACATGCAAACTATGTCTTAGATTCTTTAGAGAGATTTCTAACAGTTCCTTAGAAAGAGCTGCCTGGTTTCTTATCATTACCTAGAACTTTTGAAGTCATAAATTAACTTAATATGGGTGGTACACGGACTAAGACACAGATGGTTTCCTGTCTGTTGACTTACACCCTGCTGATAATTCTTTGTGTAAGGGCAAGAGTAAGTGAAAAGTAATGTTTTTGAGCATATGCTCATGTCATCATATTTATTCCTCACCATCCTTTGAGGTACTTCTTATCCGCAGTTTTACAGGTAGAGAAAAACAGGCTCAGAACTGTGTAGTAATTTCCCAAAGGGCGCAGCTCTGTGGGTGGCAGATGGTGCTGAGCGCTGGTCCGCATGCTCGGACGTGGGGACGCAGCGCTTGCTGTGGTAATAGTGACAGAGATGGTAGCAGCGGCCCGCAGGCACGGGGTCCCCCATGTGTGAGGATCCTTCCTATACGTCATGTGGTTTCATCCCTGTGACAGCCCTGCAAGGGCCATCATCCTCATTTTACAGAACAGGAAGCAGCCCGAAAGACGGTAATTATTTGTCCAGTCACACAGCTCTTCAGCAAAGAGCAGGTATTCAACCCAATTTTACCTGATCCTAACTTTCCGCTCTAAAGTCGACTTGCTTATCAAGATTCGTGATAGTTCCCTGACCCCAAGAACAAGAGGCACAGTAGATGTGGGTTTTTTTTCCTAATGCTGAATATACAGCTGCCTCCTGGCATTCCTGTTGAGCCGGAATACAGAACGTTGGTTTAATTTTTACACCTTGTCAGCCTTGGTGGGGAGGAAAGGAACATCAGATATTTAGGCAAGCTTATACATTGTTGTAGGGTACTTCCTCTTTTATCTAGCAACTGCCCTGTCAGGACCCACCCAGGAACCCAGAGCGAGCTAAGAAAACATCTGAGCACATGCAGAATTAAAGATCACAGGCTGTTGAACCAGCGCCTTCACCGTGTCCACAGATAAGTCCCTGACACTCGCGTGGAGCCGACTGACTCTGACTTGACACATAATTCTAACAGCTTCTGTTTTCAGCTTAGTCTACAGCAGAAAAATAATAGCAGAGGGCCCACTGCAGATTGATGTAGTAATACCAGAGATGTGGCCAGAGATGAGGAGAAAGAAACCTGGAAAATGATCAGAAGCAGAAACGAGGGCCCAGAAGGGCAGCCTACCAGAAGCCGTTCAGTGTCAGCTCAAACGCGGCCTCCTCTGTAGCCAGATCACAGCACCGTCTCGTCAGTTACTGGTTTTCATTATGGTGACACTGAACACTCATGAGAAGTTAGCATTGAAATGTTAGTACTTCCAATTTAGAAAGGTAGTGATGATGGGTACAGTGTTTTTCAGGAGGAAAAAGGCCAAAAAATGCATTCATGTTTGTCTACCCTTAAAACCCAGCTGTCCAAGAACAATTCCCCAAGGTTCTGTGTGTCATTTCTCTTTGTATCCTCAAAGCGCAGTGTCTGACACATAGGACGTGCTCACTGTTGCCAGATGATGAAACGCTGGATGTCTTGCTTCCTAGGGGTCTGGATACTGTTTATTCTGGATCCTAGATGTGTTCCAGGATGACTTAATGAAGGCGAGAAGCTATAAGACCCTTGAGAGCTCACTGATTATTCTGTGTTTACACGTGGTTAGATGAGATGATACCCACCTTCCTTCAAAAAAAATTCAGCACATGGTAGTCACTCTGATCATCACCATTATTTTCGTCAACACTGACCAAGGTTGCTCACCCGGAAATATGTGAAAAAGAAGTTAGGACCTTCCTCTCCTGGGACGCACTTGAAGGCCAGTAGCTGGAACCAGGCTGAAGCTATCTAAGCAGCTCTACTCCACATGGGCAAGGGCCCCAGGATTCTCTGTGGGCTTACAGGCTACCCACCCCCTTAACCACCCCAGTTATTAAAGATTGAGCCCTGAATAAATCAGCGCTGCTCTCCCTGAGAGACAGCTGCCTTTCAGAGAGTTCCAAGCAGCCGGAAGACATACACGCCTGGAGGGTTCTGGGCAGCCAGAGGCTGGGGGCCATAGGCTGCTTGGAGCACCTGGCCTGCCTTCGCTGCACAGGGCTGATTGTTTTACAGGTCACAGCCATTTCGAAAAGGCGGACTCGCTGACCTGTTTAATGAGTTCAGTTTCTGCACGAAAGCCCATATTCCTCTCCCAGGCAGCCCCAGAACTTCGCTGGGGAAGGGAGCCAAATCTCTTCTCAGTGCCTGAGGGATTTCTGGCCTTAACTGCTGGTGGAATTAGCAGGAGTTATCTATAAATCCCTGAGGCATCCATCAGCCGACTGAGTGAGGCTGCCTTTTTAAAGAAGTTCACTGACCTCTTGTTAACTTAACTCCTTGTTAGGAAATATCTAATCAGCTGTGAGCTAACCCGCCAGGGCCCAGGGGTCTGCAGAAGCCGGGCTCACTGTGGGCTGGGTTTCCAGCTGTGTGCAGTCTGGTGTCTGAGCTGTTCTGTTTTCATCTTTCAGCCATCTTTCAGATCATTCAGAGCATAAGGATGGGCATGTGAGAAGCCAGGGATCTGACAGCACCTCCCTCCCACTGGAGGGGAGAGGACCACAGGTGCGGTCAGCCAGTTTCTGCAGGAAGCACGCAGGCCACACGGCGTAGAAAACAGCGCTCCCCCACTTTTCCCTGATCACTTCATCGTGGATGTCAGACCGAATTGCCTTCTCACAGGACCTCTTGGTGCGTCCGTGTTCTCAAGCGGAAAGGACATTTTGCTTTTCTGTTGGCAGGATTAGTAGCCACGTGGGTCGTCCGCAGCAGCGCTGTCTTTTCGGTTTTTCCCTCGGTTTCGCTCATGTGTGCATGTGGCCCTCTGAATGATCGCCGGGTTACTTTGTATGGATACAGTCTCTCCATTGAGAATTGGTTTTACAAATAAATGTCTTCATCCAACCTTATTCCGTGTGTGGGTTTTAGTGAGAAAACGTAGGTGAAGAAAATAGCAGAAGAGTCCAAGGGAGGCTGGGAGGTGGGGCGACTTGGTTACGCAGTTGGAGGAGGGGAGGGAATCTGAGACAGGGGAACCAGAGCTAGATTTTCTCAGCAGGTCTCGGGCAAGACTCTCAGGATCTTTGCCTGAATGAAGCCCTGGGCAGCTCTAACGACACTGCATTTTCTATACGTTTGATTCTTCTTCCTTTTTTCCTTTTTTTCAATATGTTTGTGTTGTCTTGTTTGCTGTTCTCTTTTTCGGTTCAGAAAAGGCATGCACAATGTATGTGAAGGTTCAACTAGTCCTTATCTGCTCTGTGGTCTGCCTTGGAGCTTAGCACTGAGCAGATGTCCCCTGCCTCTCAGCGAGAACCATCCACCCCCAGGGCCCAGCCTCAGCCACTCCAGAGCTCTGGGTAAAGCAGGAGCCCTGCAGCCCTCTGGGGCATCAGCTGGCAGAATGAGGGGTGGGGTCCCCTCCCTGGCCAGCCTTCCCCACAGCTTCTCAAAGCATGCTATTGCCAAAGGACGTTACAGAGACAGCCACAGGGTCACTGGAGGATGAGACGTGGTCAGCCTGCAACGTGAAGCATGCTTTTGTTTTTATTAATCTTCATCTTTTTCATTCACTAACTTCGTGAGAGCTGTAAAAAGGGAAGTGACAGACATGGCCAGAGCCTCTCTGGACAGCTTCACAGGTTTTGTCGCTAGTGGCACTGTTTGAATTAGGGGACATTTTGTTCATTGGAATCTTTCACTTCAGGTCCTTTGGTGGTGCTCTTTAGGGCATTCTTTTCTCCACGCTTTTGAGTTCCCCTCGAAAAGCATCCCTTCCCTCCTTTTCTTCCTTTCCCACTAAGAAGAGAAGGCACCTAGACTGCTCCAAAATCAACAGCCCTGGGAACAGTCTATCACCCTGTGCTCCCCTGCTGCTCCCACTCCCCAGCGCCCAGCCCCTCACAAAGTGGCAGGAGACATTTCCAGTTACCCGAAAGAGGCACACAGTAGATGCTCTCCAAGCCTGTCCCCTCAACCCATTGGCTCTGACTATCCTCTTCTAGGTCACTGAGTCAGATCAGTGTGTGATAAGAGATTGGCCCTCAGGGATCCTGCTTGGGGCCCGGGAGCCCACGTTGCCTGCCAAGAAGGGGAAGAAGAAAGGCTCCTTGCCTTCAGGTGACTGGGTCTGTGCTCCCATACACCTCTTTCCAGCTCCTACATTGCCTAGACTTGATTTGAGTGCAGAATTTCTCTTTCTCCCTTACTGCCTATAAAAGCACACATCCCAAACCACCAAGAGAGGCCATTACTAGCCTGAGCTTTGTGGTTCATCCTTTATAAGACAGAATTCTTTTCCCCTAATTTGGCCTTCCTCATAACAGCAATAGTCAAGAGGGTGATTATCCCCATTTCAAGGAAAGGGAAACCAAATCCTGGCCAGAGTCAGTTCCAAAGAGACCCTGCTTATTCCCAGGTGACAGGTGCGGTGGGCTGTGTGTGGCGGACTCTGGGCTGCCATCCATAAAACTGTCCGAGACTGATCTCTCCACTCAGGCTCTGCAATCATCCACAAACTGGTTTTCTATGAGTTTCCAGGTAGCCTCCCTCAAGTACTTGCATGTAGCAGTCTACCCTCCCTGGTGATTTTTCCGTCTGTCCTCTGCAAGCAGAGATGGCAGCTGCCTTAAGTAAGCCTGGCCCTTTGTTGATTTACACTGTACTGCAGAGGTGACAGCAGTTTCACTGTGAAACACGGTACAAACACACAGCCCAATGCACAGCACACCCTTCAAAACCAGCTTTACAGAAAGGACTACTTAGCCCTACTGTACGTGATGCACTCTGATTTTTTTCTAGTCTATTTTTCAATTAAAAATTAAAATTTTCGTCTATTTAATTTTTTGAATTAAAAATTAATTCAAAATGATTGCATCCTCAACAACTGATTTTATAGCCCAAGAATAGATTTCAACCACAGTTTTAAAAACACTGCTCTTCAGAAGAAAACCAAGCCCGTGGTTGAGGACAGATCAGCAGGGTTCAGAAGTCAGTACAGCCGCATCCTGGTGAGAATTTAAAGTCCCATCTCAGTCACAGCCAATCAAGAGCTCCAGTGGCACATGATAAGCGACTGCTTTTAGGATTTAAGGCACATTGGCAGATTCTGCACAGAAAGCTGGGGGGGCAGGTGAGCCCATGGATTCAGTACCATCTTGAGTCCATAGAAAGACTGTGAAATAAACATCCATTTATTTCATAAGTAAATGTCAGGTTCAATTTGTCAGCGTTCACTTTCTGGGAGTCACAATCACTTAGGATGGGCATGAGGAGTTCTTAAAAGTAGGAATCCACCCCAAGTCTGCTGAAAATCAAACTCTCAGAGGAAGACATGCATGCGTATGAGTTTTGCATATGTGTTTTTCAAAAGATGATCAGACAATTCCGATGCCGCCCATCCACCAATGAACATTTGGGAACCAATTTACCACCAAACTTAGTTTAATTAAACCAAAGCAGGGACCCAGAGGCAATGCCGCACCCTAACACTGCATTCACCCTGATCTCCGAGAGCTGCTTCTCCTCTGATGTTCAGAAGCATCTGGGGGGTCCTGGGGCTCAGTGGTGGTGATACATTCTATTTGATTTTGCTCCAGGTCTTGTGTGTGTCTGAAGCCACAGACTGGAGCAGAGTGCTTACTACTTGGCTTGAGGATTTAAGGCTCTGCAGGGGAGAAGAATTGTGCCTTACAGGAAGGCTAAGGACTTTTTCTAGGTCCCCACCCTCCAGGACATCAACACAGGTCCAACACTGTTTCTGGGAAGGCCAGTGCCCATGAAGGTGCTCCCTGCTTTAGAAGTGCCTAAACACACAGGAAACATGCCCTCAGATGCGGGGGCTGCACTTACGTTATAAGACAGTTCTCATCCTGTCCAGATACAAGAACATGCTAACATCATATCCCTGCAGTTCTTCCACAGTTGGTCCCCAGACCTTTGGAGGCAAAATGTCATCTGGGTGATGTCCTTTATCCTCCAGCCATCATCAGGCTTCAGCTGCAAAAGTATATTAATCACTCTCAGCAGCAGGTGCCTTTGAGAAATCTTCATGTCTGAGGCTTCCATCTGCCAGCCATGGGTCAGGACTTCCTCTCCAGGGTCAGCAAACTTTATCTGTAAAGGGAAAGTACATACTTTGGGCTTTGCAGTCCATATGCAGTCGAGGCCGTTCAATTCTGCTGTGATAGCTTGAGAGCAGCCCCTGACGATGTGTGAATGAACGAACATGGCTGTTACCCAATAAAACTCAACTTAAAATACAGGTGAAGCCGGGTGTGGTGGCTCTGGCCTGTAATCCCAGCACTTTGGGAGGCCGAGGCAAGTGGATCATCTGAGGTCAGGAGCTCGAGACTAGCCTGGCCAACATGGTGAGACCCCATCTCCACTAAATATACAAAATTAGCTGGGCATGATGGCGCATGCCTGTAATCCCAGCTACTCAGGAGGCAAGGCTAGAGAATCTCTTGAACCCGGGAAGCAGAGGGTGCAGTGAGCTGAGATTGCGCCACTGCACTGTAGCCTGGGTGACAAGACTGAAACTCCGTCTCAAAAAAAAAAAAAAAAATTAGGCAGGCTTGGTGGCACATGCCTGTAATCCCAGCTACTGGGGAGGCTGAGGTGGGAGGATTGCTTGAACCCAGGATCGAGGTTGCAGTGAGCTATGACGGTGCCGCTGGGTAACAGAGCAAGATTCTGTCTAAAAAAAAAAAAAAAAACCCTCAGGTGTTACCCAGATCTAGTGAATCAGAAACTCTGGAGATGAGGCCAATAGTGTGCGTTTTCGAAGCCTTCCAGGTGATTCTTCGGCAAGCTCACGTTGGAAAACCCTGATCTCAGCCTGGCGCCAAACCTGTCAGCTCCAGAGAGTTGCTGGTGGTTAGCCGCACCCCCGGACAGGCCTCTTCCCCTTCCTCCCCTACAAATGTACGTGTACCCTTGGTACTGAATTCGCTCTTAGGGACCTAGAGATTTGCTCTCTGTTTGTTTTATGTTTCTATGTTTTGTTTCCCAATTAGATTGAAACCCCTTGAAGCTGGAGTCTGTGTGACTTGTCCATCTCTACCTCACCCCTGATCCATTTTGAGCATTCAAAAGAGGCAAGGGAGGCCTTCACCTTTAGTGACTTTTTTGAAAATTCCGTGCTTATTTTCAGCCCACAATTCATTTTCCAAAAATATACATCAGGCGCCTATTCTGTGCCAGGCTCTGTCTTAAGGCACAAGCCCTGGCCTTCATGGAACGCACATTCCAGTGGAGGAGACATAATAAGCATATAAATTATCAAGTTTCAAATGAAATTCTCGTTGCGGTCCGCTGCATTGAAGAAAAGCAAAGCAGGATCATACAATGGCGACTGGTCGGGTGACAGCTTTTAAACAGCTTCGTCAGAACACGGCCAAGAAGAGACCACTGCGGTTTTCGGCTCTGAGAGGACGCGCAGGCCTTTTCTGTACTCCTCTTACAGCTCGAGCATAACCATGCTCGTCTCAGTGTCAGGCAGGATAGAATGTCCTGTGCTGCAGGAGCAAAAGCTCAGTGGCCGCTCAGCACTCTCACTAGTCACTGAGGCTAACGCAGGCTGCTGGGGGCTTCCCTCCACGTGTTGGTTCAGCATTCCAGGTGCTGCTGCCATCCCAACACTAGGTCGCCTGTGCACAGAGAAATGCAGGGGGATGACAGCTCCCCCTTTTAGTGAGTCACTTTTTCATTCACAAGAAATCTCCAGGTGTAGCTGAGCACGGTAGCTCACACCTGTAATCCCAGCACTTTGGGAGGCCAAGGCAGGCAGACTCCTGAGGTCAGGAGTTTGAGACCAGCCTGGCCAACATGGTGAAACCCCATCTCTACAAAAAAAAAAAAAAATACAACAATTAGCCAGGCGTGGGATTGGGCACCTATAATCCCACTTACTCAGGAGGCTGAGGCTGGAGAATTGTTTGAACCTGGGAGGCAGAAGTTGCAGTGAGCCGATATCACATCGCTGCACTCCAGCCTGGGCAACAAGAGTGAGATTCCATCTTAAAAAAAAAAAAAAGAAAGAAAAGAAAAAGAAATCTCCAGCTGTGTTTTGCCTCGGCCAGTCCCAGGGTCCAGCGTTGTGACACCTCTGACCCTCTCAGAAGCACACCCGGGGCGGGGGGAACGATGCTGGCAGAAGAGTCGAAATTTCTTCAGTTCCAGAATCTGTCTTACTTCCTTAAAGGAAAGGGCTTATTTTCCCTTGCTTTTCATCTGACTATTGCCATTTTGATAGCCTATCTTCAGGCTAGATAAGCCAGGGGTGTCAGGGACAGGTCAGAAGAGAAAAAAGGTACATTTCCAGCAACAAGGCACAAATAGGCTTGTCGAGGAGCAAGCGGCACACGCAGGAGGAAGGTTCTCAGTGACCTGAGTGAGTCTGTCTTTGGAGGTCAGCAAGGCAGAAAGCCCGGTGGGCTGGGGCCCCACCCCTGCCTGGGTTCCCAGGCCGAGGCTCCGGAAGGCTTCAGGGGCACAGCGGCACAGCGGCACCCCGTCAACCCGCAGCACCCCGTCCACCCGCAGCACCCTGCGCACTTGGCCCGGTCCCTTTGTGCTGCCGCTTAGTGCACAACTGACTCTTCCTCCTGAGAAGCCGGTGGCTGCTGGAACACCCGACGACGGACAATGACGATGAACAAAAGTGTCCGCAATGAGACATACCTCCGAAGCACTGGTGTGCGCTCTCCCTTAAAGGAGGTTATTTGGAAAAAAGAAAGGAAGAAGAGGGGTTGGTGACATTGTGCCAAGCTCTGCCTACGGGAACACGTGGGCTTTTTACACGGTAGGAAAACGTCTCATTTGTTCCCTGCCTATACAGCCCGAGCTCCTGTCTGGGTGCTTCTTTCTATTTTTCAGCAGGTGCTGAAATGTTGGCAAACAGGCAAAGGAGCAGCAGCCCTCCCTGTGAATCAGGGCCATTCACGGTCAGAGTCACCAAACCTGTATTTCAGGGGACATATTTCCAGCTCCCAGTCTCCCAGCTTGGCCGGCTGCCCTGAAAAGGGACTGGGACTTGGCTCTTGGAAATACGTGGATCTCTTTCAGGCTGAGTGAAACCCATGAAGAGTCTCCCCCGGTTTCTAATACCAGGGCTGGCTACCTGAGTTCATCGTTTATTAGTGTTGGAAAAGGTTCCTGCTGCTTTCCCACCTGGCCAATCTCCCCCGGGGCTGAGAAGGGGAAAAGTCGCTGATGTCATAACCCTGCTTAGTTTTGCTGCCAGTGGCAAGGGGGTGGGAGGAAGCCAGCAGGCAGCCTTCCCTGGGGCAGGGATGATGGCGGCGGGAGGCCAAGGCCGGCCAACCGTGCCAAATAGGCTGTGAGCCTTCACAACAAAAAAGCCACCCTACAACACAACCCTGGGGTGCCGGGGGCCTCTTTATGCCTTTGCCTATCTGTATGTGTGTGTCTCTCTCTGTCTCTCCATTCCTCTGGGCATCCTTCTGTCTCCATCTCTGTCTCTCTGTGTGTCTGCTTCTCTTTCTGTCTCCGTCTTTCTCTTCTAAGGAACAGCTCCTGCCACCTCATAGCCAACAGACTACTTATTATTATTCTGCTTGAAATGCAGAATATGCCCGGCATTGGGGAATCCAGCACCATCACCTCTTCAGGCTTCATGCACTGTGCTCACAAGGGCCCCTCCGCAGGCCTCTGCTGGGCTGGAGGAGCCCTCTCTCCCTCCCTCCCCGGGCCCAGGCAGCCAGCCTGCCCTCCCTGCAGAAGGCTGTCTCCCTTTCCCTCTCCCTGCATGCTCCCTGTGGACCTCTTCCTGCAGCCAGGGAGCATCTGGGGCAAATGCAAACAGTTCTTCGGTCTGCTTGTTTGCTTTTCATAGTGCAAAGGTGGAGTCGAGTGTGGTTAGTACAGCCACCATGGCTGTAAGGGACCAAGTCGGTTCTGGGTCCGGGAGTGCCAGAGCTCGCCAGCCCTGCAGGACGGCCTCCCAGCTGGGCTCCTGTCAGTATCCACCTAGAAAGCAGACAGAAAGCGTTTCTGGAAATGTTAACCGGAAGGCCCCCTGTGGTGCCCTGTAAGCTAAAGTGGACAATGTGGGTGGGGGAAGGGCACATGTCTCCTTGGCGCCATCACAAAGCAGGGAGGGGGCTCCTTCAACTCTCAGGTCGGGGACAGAGCTCCCCGCTAGCCTGCACTGCGAAGAGTTTTTAGGGCCTGGAGTCACCCATCTCCGTCCAGGGGCGCTGCGTAAGATTCACCATTAATCCTACACATCTGGGAGCAGTTCTCCTGCTAAAGATAAGATGAAGCCCAAGTGATTTGCACTGGGGGCTGGCTGGGGAACTGGGGGGAGCCAGGCCTGGAAGGCTGGGCATACAGCAGCATCCAAACCAGCAAGAGGGGATGCAGCCTCCTCGGCAGACTTCCACGGTCCATCCCCCGCCAGGCGGATTACCTAAGCACAGTGCACTGAGCTGTGGCCGGGAATCCAGAAAATTATTTTGCTTTACACAATGGAGGCCGCGTTATTTAAGTTTAAAATACAACGGGAGAGGAAAGGAAGCATGATCAGCTTTCTAAGAGACAAGTAGGCAAGGGAGCTCTCCCCAGGTTCCACCCTTTAGCTAAACCGCTGAGGTTCCCAGAGTATATGTAGTTCCTCCCGCGGCCTCCCACCCTCTCCTCACTCTCCCCCTCCCTCTCTGCCTGTCTCTGTGTCTGTGCCTCTGTAACCAAAAAAACCTTCAACACGGCCATTGCTTTTCAGATCACGTAACCCCCAAAACTCTGTGAGGAAGGTTCTGCCTGCTTCTCTACCTCACACTGCTCTGTCTGTCTCGTACACACACTCACCCCCCAACACACACACACCCCTTGGGCCTTTCTGTCTCACCTCCACACACACTCACGCTCATACACATACACACAGTCTAGTCCACACCGATAAGCAGCAGTTCCCCTCCACAGGGAGGGACAGGCTCGGAGCCTGAAGAACGTCAGCCTTTGCCCTCCTGCCCTCGGGAGTCCTCCTGAGCCACCCGGGGCTGCCGCTGCTCTGAAGGCCTCGGCACTCAGATCTCCCTGAACCTGGTTGAAGGTCGTGATCAGGAAAGCAAGCCCTCCCTGCCAGGCTGTGTCCCCCGCTGGCCCTCCCTGCCAGGCTGTGTCCCCCGCTGGCCCTACCTGCCAGGCTGTGTCCCCCGCTGGCCCTACCTCCCAGGCTGCCCAGCCTAGCAGGGCCAAGGCTGGGTCTACCCTCTCTTCTGTCCTTGGCACTGCCCTGACCTTTGCAGGGAGGGAGAGGCAGCCAGAGGTGGGAGGGAAAACAAAAGAAGGCTCTCAGTTCCCAGCATCAGCCCTGATAGAGAACAGGGAAGCTGAGATCCTGGTCCCGGCCACAGCCCTCACTGCACCTGGACAGCAGGCAGGACATTTAGCCTCCATGGGTTTTCATTTCCCTCACAGGCAGATGGATTGTCCCCATTTTTATTTTAGGAACAGAGTTTCCTTTCCAACAAAATCACAGAAGCCCAATATGTAAAAATACAAAGCAGGAGCAGGCTCTATCGAGCCCGGCCCACCCCTCCTCCTGGAGCAGCCCTTCCCAGACTCGCTCCCTGTGTAAACCCTCCTGGGGCAGAGACCACGCCATCCATGGCATCAGGGGGTGCAGTGCCAAGCACTGCTCCCTGTCCCCCAGGAACTTACTGCTGAGAGGAGGAAAGCAGGTGAGCCAGTCAAGACAGTCCCCCCAGCAGTGACATAACTAATAAGGGGCCACGTGCAAAGCAACTCAAAGAAAAGGGAGCCAAAACTGTCCATCTACTTCTCGGAATGCCCCCAAAAGAACTGAAAGAGAGACTTGGAGAGATCCTTGCACGGCTGTGTCCCCAGCGGCCTTATCCACAACAGCCAAGGGCAGAAGCAACCTCGCTGTCCACCAATGGCAAAGGATGAACCGGGAAACTAAACGTGGCACATCCACGCCGTGGAGCTCGGTTCATCATTGAAAAAGGAGGACATTCTGGCCACATGCCACCACATGGATGAACCTGGAGAACATCATGCTTAAGCGAAATAAGCCACTCACAGAAAGACAAATGCTGTGCGATTCCACTTATGTGGAATACCTGGAGCAGTCCCATTTACAGAGACAGAAAGGAAACAGTGGCTGCCAGCGGCTCGGGGAAGGAAGGAGTGGGGAGCTGGTGTTTCACGGGTAGAGAGTTTTGGTTTGGGTTATAAGAACATTCTGGAAATGGCGATGATGACAGTTGCAAACAATCAATATATTTAATGCTTCCGAGTGGCACAAACATGGCTACGATGTTAAATGTATGCGTATTTTACCACAGTTAAAAATAATAATCTAAAAAGTTGTTGAGTATGTGCCCAAAAAGTGGCCAGGGTTTGGCAAGGGGTGAGGGGGGGAAGGACAAAGAACGCTGTGCAGACCACGGCGATAGGGCCCGGGGCCTGCCTCCAGCCGCCGCGTGAGGCCGAAGGCCTCTGCACATGCTCCTCTTTTCACCCTGTGCTTTTCCCCTCAGCATTCCCATGACTCAAATTCACTCAGCTCTTTCTTCAAATGTCACTCCTCAAAAAGCCCTCACTGACACCACTAGCTACAATAAAGCATATACATGCGTGTGCACGCACACACACATATACACACATACACACACATACACACATACACACACATACACACACACATACACACACATACACACACATACACATACACATATACACACATATACACACACATACACACACATATACACACATACACACACATACACACACATATACACACACATACACACACATATACACACATACACACACATACACACACATACACACATACACACACATATGCACACACATACACACATACACACACATGCACACACATGCACACATACACATACATACATACACACATACACACACATACACACACATATACACACATACACACATACACACACATACACACACACATATACACACACACACACATACACACACATACACATACACACACATACACACACATTTACACACACACATACACACATACACACACACATACACACACATACACACACATATACACACATACACACACATACACACACACATACACACACATACACACACACATACACACACATACACACACATACACACACATTTACACATACACACATACACACACATACACACATACACACATACACATACACACATACACACACATACACACACATACACACATACACACATACACACACATACACACATACACACCTACACACATACACACACATACACACATACACACACACATACACACACACACATACACACATACACACACATACACACACATACACACACATACACACACACATACACACACATACACATATACACACACATACACACACATACACACACATACACACACATGCACACACATACACACACACATGCACACACACATACACACACATATACACACACACACACTCTCTCTCTCTCTCTCTCTGCCCACCACATGCCGTAGCCGATTTCTGCACAGTACTAACCACCATCCCCTGTGCTGGTATATATATATCTTTATTTATTTCTTTTCTGTTTCCCCAAGTAGAATATAAGCTTCAGGAGGACAGGACCTCTGTTTTGTTCACTGTTCTCTCCCCTGTGCTTGAAGGATTGTAGATGCTGAAGTGAATTTGAAGAATGACGAGCAAACAGGGAAATGAGGTTGTCTGCCCAGCTTGCCAGGGCTTACCTTTCAAATTTGAGCCCAATGCCCCACCTGGCTGTCTGCCCACCTACTGAGGCTTACCTTTTCTGCATTTTTCTCTCTCAGGAAACTTGCAGACAGATGACGGCAGCATTTGGGAATCTGATTCAGAATCACGACTATAGAATATCTATGATCATCTACCCTTTTAGCCTCACAGTTTAGATACCAGGAGAATGGCAGGGAGTGAATTAGGAGAGGAGATTCCATCTTAGAGAACATACATAACTCAGTTTTTAAAATAGAATCATACAGTTTTTGAGGTAGACAAGATCACAGGCTTGGGCTGACTTTGAAGCACTGAGAGAAAACCCAACAGCAAGTGGGTGGCAGAGCCCTGGCGGTGCGGACGGGCCTGTGCTGTGCATTCGGTCTAGCCCTGCACATAACCAGGACACTGAGAAATGTATTTGCTATAGGGAAGCTGCTGGTGCCAGCAAGGACACAGGGAAGAGCTCCAGGAAGCCTGCGGCAAGCTCACCAGATTAGCGTCTGCGTCAGTCTCACCCTGAACCCTCCTGGGCATGGCTGGCTCTCAGGGCCTGTGGTTCCTGGACACTTATGAACCCAATGCTTCAATTGCATGGCCGGCATTCTGGGACATTGGCTACGGGTAATATCCATGGGCTGGGCATAGGGTCAGCTCAGGCTGGCATTGTGAATTCCTGCAAACATGTTGGCGAGTAGCCGACGGAGGCTCCGGAGTTCTTGCACAGAGTCTAGGAGTGCTCAGGCCCGTATCCAACATGGTGGACCCTGTTTTATCTGCGTAGGCAAAAATTAGCCCGAGGTGTCTGCTGGCTCTGTAACTTTTCCGCTACTGGAGCTGAGCAGAGGTGTGGAGTGGAGGTGGAGGTCGCTTGTTATCCCTGACTCTCCGTTTGGTCCATTCAGCCTAGCCAAATAGCTATCCCCGTGCTCCCAAAAACGAAACAAATAATGTCCCCTCCTGTTCTCCCAAACCCCTTATTTTAATCTCTTAGACAAAGGTACGCTCATATCCTCTCCTGAGCTTTTTAAGAGTCTCTGATCTGTAGCAGCGCACGCTCTCCTTTGCTATTTTTTCTCTTTGCTCTCGAGACAGAGTTCGCTCGTTGTCCCAGCTGGCACTAGCACTTGGCTCAATTTTGTTCACCGTAGTCGCCTCCAAGTTGAAGCAGTGTGCCTCCGGCTTGTTCTCCTCTACCTGGTAAGGGTCCCAAGAGCTGGGCTAGCGCCCCAACTTGGCAATCCCCCACTTGGCTAATTGTTTTTATTTAGAGTATAGGGTGGTTCGTCATGTTGCATCAGGCCAGGCAGTCGGGAACGTCCGATCAAGTGATCTGCCTGTCTTGGCCTCCCAAAGTGCTGGGACTACAGCCATGAGCCACCTCACCTGGCCTCCTTTGCTTTCTCAAGGCAATAAAGTCAACTCCCACCCAATGCATCGTCACTGCAACATCGCCGCGTCCTCACTCGTTGTGCCTTCAGATTCCACTTCCAGAATCACAGACTCTCCAACCTGGAGGGAAAGCTAACGGCCACTCAGCTCGTGCTTCCCAAGCTGTGGGCTGCAGTCATTTCTCGGGCCATGAAATCAATGCAGCGGACCATAATGAGAATTTCATTTGAAAATTGATGGAGCAGAATTAAATAGAAAAGATCACAGAGCGCTGCAGGTAGAAGTGCTGCTTCGTGAAACTTCTTGCTCGGTTATATGTAAATGGATGTGTTTCCTGCCTTGCAATAGGGAATGTTTCCTACCGTGAGACCTGGTGAAAACAATCTTGAAGGCTGCTCCTCTGATGCATTTTCCATATCGGTCTCAATACTCCTATATCCCGCTGACGTTTAATCATTCCATGATCCGTGAGCTTATTCAGGGTCTATGGTGTGGCAGGCACTGAGCTGGATCCTGGGACAACAAACATGAACAGGACACTGGGAGTCAAAGTCCAGGCAGGGATCAGGGCGTTGGGGGGCACACTCCAACTGGTAGGAGGAGGAGAGTTTAATAAAGGAGCTATCTATTCAGTGTGGGCAGAGTATAGGGAACCCTGAGGAGATAGAGCAGGCTTTCAGGGCCATGAAGAGCAGAACAAGGTGGGCAGGGCTGAGGGAGGGGAGCTGCTTCCAGAACCCGAAGCTATGGGGGGAGGACTTCCTGACAGAGGGTCTGTAGCCTTCAGTCAGGAGGCCATGAGCTCACAGGAACCCTGTAGGGAAGCAGCCAGAGAGACCAAGTACTCTGCTCTCATCTCCTGCTGATAATGAGCCACAGTGGCCAAATGTCCCCAGAACCCAGAGGGCACAGGACATCAGGGTGCCATCCATATGGGAGAGCAGTGGGGAGAGGGTGGAGGGTGGATATGGATAGCAGACAGAAGATGACGCCACAATTGTTGCCTGCTGAGAACTTGTATCGGATGGATGAGAAGGCACATCATCAAAAAAAAACCACAGTGGTGCCATAACTCAGGCTGGAAGACAGGTATTCATGAGGACTTCCAGAAGTACCCAGGAGGATGAGCCTGGCTCTTGGGGAAGGCCAGGGGAGGTCAGGGAAGGCTCGCAAGAAAGAAGCCATAGTGGTCTGTCTCCAAGCATCCTTTCCTTTGAAGAG